AACAAAATGTACATGCTTTTTTGAGCCCTCACTGTATCATTTGCAAGAGTGCACAATAACAGATCGCGACGATCTTTCCTAGTGCGCTCTTTCATATGGTACTGTTAAAAATGAAACTTATATGTAGAGTTTTTGTTTTAGAAAACTTCTCAATATAAAACCTTGATATACGGCGCATTTGATAAAGAACTTCATTAGTTATCAAAATCCCTATTTTAGTTAAGTACATAGTTTCACGAAAAACAAAACCAAACTTACCTTATTATGATAAATTTAATCTGTATAATTCATTTATTGTTCTTTTCTTTCAGTTGGTTATCCACCATTTAGTGAATCTATTAGTGGAACTTCATTAAATGATCAAATTATTAAAGGCCTTTATACATTTCCGGATGAATTTTGGTCAGAAGTTTCTGAGCCAGCTAAAGATCTTATTCGTAAAATGATGTGTGTTGATTCAACAAAACGATTAACAATAAATGATGTACTTGAACATCCATGGTTAGCTGATGATCATGAGAATACTACACGTGTTAATAAAATAATGTATCCATCAACGGTAGTTTCAACACCTCCAACTATTACAAGTGCGAAGCGTCCTGCATGTGATGATGATACTTCAACAAGTGAACCATGTACGAAACCAACTGATGAAAAACCAACGGAAAGTAATCATTCATCTGGTAGATCTAAACGAGTTAAACATTGATTATTACATATCTTTTCTTTTTATCTCGGTGAACTTATATTAAACATGTTTTCGTGTTGTCGAACACCTATTGTTTATATGTTTAAATTTGTTTTGTTTTTGTATACTAATTGAAATATCTTCTATACGCTTTTTGTGTTGTGTTTAGCGGCACTGCGATTTGGTTTTATCGTTTTATTTTTATCGATTAATATATTTTTTTCTTTGTCCGTTCCTATTTTTGATTTTGTTTTACACGTCAAATGAGTGTATTTATATGAAAAGAAACATGAGCCATTTCATGTTAATAATCAAGTACTTGATTCTCATTATGATGAATAAAAGTGTAAAGTGCAGCAAAACAAGGAGGACTGTCTGCACAAAATAGCTAAATTGATATTTGATTAACATAGCAGACTATGATAGAATTTTTGCGAAGAAAAATTAGTTATTAGTGTTAATTTATGAATAAATCGGAATCTAAAGAATATTCTATCTTACAATTGTAGCCTGTGAAGTATTTATTTTCATACATGATCTTAGATTTTTGGTTGAAGTGAATGGTAAATATCAATCCATCATTGAGTCTTGGTCATACATATTTTTTCCCAATTGTACAATGTTTTACTAAATTTTTCATTTAATTTCGTTTGAATCTTGGATAATAAAACAGTAAAATACCCATCTCAACGAGCTGCAGAAAGAAATGAAGTAAAGGATTACAAGATGAGGTGGGTGGCAATGTTTAGTGCAAGTCTAGAGTGTGGCTGTGTGAGATTTATTGTAATCATGTGTATTTCTGTGGATATGAGTTTTCGGAGCGCTTTAGGCTTGAAAATCCTCTGTTTATATCCATCTACACTCAAAGTCAAACACATGCCCACGATTCTGCCTCTATAACGACAGCCTCACATACACCTCTCCCATAGTTGAATTCGAAAGAAGAATAACACTTGACTGCACGACTTCAAAAAAGAGGCATCGAATTATGGTAACTACGTAGTTTTTTTCTGCCTGTAATAAGCACTCTTATGATTGAAGTCGCTGGGTGAATCACTTGTGGGTGTGGGTGGGTGGGGTTTTGGTTTCAGTGTGGGCCGAAAAGACTAACACATACACTCAAATCTACACCCTTCTCCAGTATCACACTGCCCCAAGGATATTGATGGCAAGTATCAAAATCATACACACAGTAACTGCTTTAGCAGAAAAACAATATATCAAAACCAGAATGTTTTTTATTCATCATCCGTGTTAAAAATAAAACCTGAACGTTATACTGGAATGCTTGATAAATGTGTAGAGAAACATTCAGATGTGAAACATTATTGTGGCAAAGAGAAAAGATAAAGACAGAGTTAAAAATGCAAAACCATTGTGCAGTTTAGTTTTCTGTCTTCTTTAAACTTATTATTTATTGTTTTTCGTTGGCTTATCTGTTGGTCGCACTGCTGCCCTTGTTACAACCGTTGTCGTTACCGGTACTGGTACATGTGTTCCAAAATCTTGATGTGTCTTAATTGAATGTAAGCCCTCCTGATGTGCATCACCAAAGATACCTACATACGACTGATTCAATATTTGCTGAAGCTCTTGTGGACTTGGATAGTGTAGAGAAGCAGCAGGAACTACCACATCTTCTTTGGTAACAAGACGCACACTAGTATTAGTAACACCACCATTCATTCCCTTTAGCTGCATAATAATACGACAAAGATTTTCAGCTTGCTCTTTCTTTTGATCAAAGTTAGTTGCATCATACTCCGCATTCCGAACTAGATAGAATTGCAATTGCTCATACGGTCGAAACTGTTGCTTGTAGAATTCTGCACGATCTGATTCAGGAAGAATGCGTGCATTTGATACCGTATCCAAATTACTGTATTTTGAATATTGAAGATGTATTGTTATAACACGTTGTGCATTCTTCGCCTCGACTATTTCAGATTGGCGTACTGGTGGTGGAGCACTTTTACAGCAGCTACAACAACATCCTTTTCCTGAAACTACAGGCACAAGATGTGAATATTCCTCTGCTTTAACACTCTTCTTTACAT